CCAGCCACACCACCGCACATCACAGAGCACCGGGTCAGGCCACGGCTCTGCAGCTGCACTGTCTGGAAAGAGCTCGCAGCCCCACTGCCCAGAGCACTGCACCCATGGTAGAGCAAGCTGAGGCTGCAGGGGAGGGGGAACAGCAGGGGAGGGGCTGGGGCTAGCCTCCCGGGGCAGGATCTCAGGGGCGGGGCAGGAGGGCCATAGTTTGCCCACCTTTGTCTTAAAGCAAAGTACTTAAGCACATCCTTAGGTCCATACATACTCAGCAAAGTACTTAAGGATGTGCTTATGTTCCATTCTAGGGATTAATTTAAGCACGTTTAAAGTTAAGCATGTACTTATATGTTTGGCTAAACAGCCGACTAAGTGATTTGCCCAAGGTCACACAGGGAGTCTGTGAAAGAGCTAATAATTGAACTCATATATCCTGACTTCCAGTCCAGTGCCTTAATCATAGTATCATCCATCTGATCTTATTTCTTTGGGTGTGGTTCTTACTCAGTTAACAGAAAGCACTGTCATGTTACTCATTGTTATATAATTACTATTATTATCATTACTGGAGAATCTCTAGGGAGTAAACATTTATGACACAAAGTTTTTCTCATCTGATTTGAGGAAATCATGCTTGTTTGGGGGATGTGGAGGCCAGTCTTAAGAACTTTCAAATCTGCTGATGAAAAATCTTATATAAGAGCTAGATATTATTATTTATGATGATGCTTTTAGGGGCAGTAGTGAAGTCAGAGTGCATGGACCTGCACTCTCTTGTCACTGAAAGCCCTGGTAGAGGTGTGAGTCTGTAACTATATGGCATCCCCACAATGTGATTGGCTGAGATCCTTGCACTTCAGTATAACAGTCATTAATCCCTTTGTTATTGCAGAAAAAAGGAACATAACTATGTTGCCATGACAACAGTGAAGCACCTTAATAATTAAAAGAGTAATTAGCTGTCTTGTTGAAAAGTTGTGACTCAGAACATTCACTAGGTACTGTGTAATTAGGGCATTGGCTTAGTAGAGTAAAAGTGCTACTGAGCCTTGGTTCCCACAGAGAGCAATCCTACAGCTGTACCGTTTTATCAAGTGACACTTACAAATAGTGACTAGTTTCATTGGAGGATATTACGGTGCGTGTGTATGTAAACGTTTTTAATTTTGAAAGGACTCTTGCAACTTAGAAATTACATTTGTTTGAAAAATGTTACCTACTATTTTTACAAATGATACCTCAGATTATTATCAATGCAAGAGATCAAAGAACCTTTTTTGTATGTTTCCAGTTTGCTTACTTTGTTCCTCTGACAGCAGTTCGTTTCACAGTTCCCACTGCATAGTCAGATTCTCCTGTTTGTGTAGATTTTTTCATACAACATGGAGGAGAAAAACATTTTTTTAAAAATCTGTGATTATAAATCCCTCCAAATCAGCAGGCAGAGTCGAGGACATTTGTGGCACCTGAACCTATATTTAACTTATTTCTTTTAATTTGATTAGAGTTCAGTTTGAGAGTTTCTCTCTGATGCAGAAATGTGTGCGATCAGAAGTGTGTTTTATTCGTCTAACTTTCAGGTTTGAAATACTTAGATGTCTTAGAACCAGTTCAAATCCAAATTATGGCTGTGTTGAGACGACTGTTCCCTGCACTCAACACCCCTAAGGCATCCAGAATGGAAAATGTTCTTGTTTATTATTTAATGGCTGCAGATTGCCCCCTTGGTGCAGCGCTCAGAGGATCCACAGCAGTTTTGTTCATTGTGCAGCCTCTCCCATACAGCATAAATAAGAATATTTCCCATGAAATTACTCACAATCATTTTCAAATGGAGAATTTGTCTTCCTGGTTTAAAGCAATAAACATACAGCTGTGACTCCTCTTGCTGAACTGTGGGGGAACTGAGCAATAATGCACATTTCCATCTGGCATTAATAAGTAATAGATTGTGCAAAAGAGAGGAAATTCTGACAATTAAATTGGTTTTTAATGGCAGCTAAGTATAAGTGTAGTCATAGGAGCCATCTGAGTTTGTTACAGCACAGCTTACCAGGGTGGTAATATGCCAGGGAAATTTTATAATGGCAGAAAAATTGAATGGACATTTAGGTTACACAAAGTCTTCACCAGATTAAATATAGCAAGTATATTATCCTACATTTTATACTACTGTAAAACACATACTAGGCCAGATCCTACTCTTTTTGAAGGCAATGGCAAAATTCCCACTGTTATTGTAGACCGCATAAGGCCTTAAGTATCATGAATGTACTATACTGCAATCCAAATTAGGAGGAATTAAAAATAATTTCTTCTGGTATCGTTAAGTAAATTCATCTTCTGACACACTGTAAGGTGAATAGGAAAGCAGGAAAAAGTGGAACATAAAAATGTCTAATAAACCTTTAAACTATAGAACAGCTAGAATTCAATGTTAAATGTTAAAACACAAATCGGAACCCAGCTATAACCTCAATCCTGAAAAGATTTAAGCATGTTTATAAATCTTTACAGGATTAGGGCCTCTACTGGTTAAACACTATACTTTTACCTGCTGGCCTAGTTCCTTATGGTCTTTTCAGATCTTGCAAGTTGAGAAGTGTTGAGCCTGTTAAATACTTAGATGGAAAACCTCCAAGGCATGCCCAAGAGTTACAGGAAGTGTTGATGATGAGTGGCAGGTGGTACGTTTTCCTGTATAACAACACTGTACTAATACCCCAGCCTGGTGCTAGGGATCAGTGTTAGAGTTCCTATTTTATGAGATATAAAACTGAAGTCCTGACCAATTCTGATTATTAAAAAAAAATCACATGGCACTTACCAAACTTACTAAAAATGAAGGTATTAATTTACCGTGATGTTTTAGCCTTACTGAAGTTTGGGGAGTCGTATAATTTCTACTGAAGTTTCAGGTACACATTTTTCAAAACAAGGTATGTGTTGTATTGCTAGGAAATTGGGTGTCCTTTGGGATAAGAAATTCCATTTTCATGTAAAATTATGTTGTATGGTGTTAAAGGTAATTCATAGTTCAAGATTGGATTTGCACAGCAATGTCATTGTTTTTAAACCTAAGCTTTGATTTGTTTAGAATTTTTGTTCATATTTTTATTTTGGAAAACCCATACATTTTCATGGAGATAATCCAAGCTAATTTTTTGTGTGTGCAGGCATAATTCTTTCAGGAGGCACTTGCCAAGGCAGATGCAAGTGTCCAGTGTTGATTTTAACATGGGGACAGATCCGATTTTACAACGGGGTGAGACAACAACCAGCATTGGGCGAATAAAACCAGAACTCTATAAACAGAAGTCTGTTGATTCAGAAGACAAGCAAGAAGATGTGAAAATCTGTGGGAAACTTAACTTTGCTCTCCGGTATGATTATGAAAATGAACTCCTTGTTGTTACCATTGTCAAAGCCTTAGATCTACCTGCTAAAGACTTTACAGGAACCTCAGATCCGTACGTTAAGATTTACCTTCTCCCAGACAGGAAAAAGAAGTTTCAGACACGGGTTCACAGAAAGACTTTAAATCCTGTCTTTGATGAAACCTTTCAGTTTCCTGTAGCCTATGATCAGCTCAGCAACAGGAAATTGCATTTCAGTGTATATGATTTTGACAGATTTTCTAGACATGACATGATTGGGGAAGTTATTCTTGATAACTTTTTTGAAGTCTCTGATCTCTCCAGGGAAGCCACTGTGTGGAAAGACATCCACTGTGCCACCACAGTAAGTAATGTGTCCCAAAAGTGTTCAAATTGATGATATTTTCATTTCTCCTTTGTATTTTACGGAAAGCATATACTATCTATCAGCACAGATTGAAAAAAAGAGTTGCCAGTGTTTTCCTTTGAGCATGGAAAATAAGATGATTGGGAAGCCATGAAATGTAATTAAAAAAAAACTCTTCTGGGAACATAGAGTTACCCTCATGACACACTATACAAATGAAAATTAGATTGATTAATTAAATCAAACCCCTAAGTGTCACTGTTTAACGGGAACAGTTAATATTTTCCTGTTAGCAGAACATATGTACATTTCCACATTGCCCTTCAAAATGTTCATGTACTAATATGCCATGAAACCACCTTAGAATTATTAACCATCTTTCACATATTGGAATCTAAATGAAAAAAAGAGATGGAGGTTAAGATGATCCAGTGTCTAAAATGATTTCTAACAGCTGTCCCATGCACAGGGTATCCTACATGAAATATCTACATATTCTTTGTTGCTAATGTCTACTATAGACACTCAATGTTGATGGAGAGCAGAAGGACATATGGGGGAGCATTTGGAAACAGAGAGAATTGGTTTACTTTTTCAAGTGAGAACTGTAGCCTATAAAATTCATCTGTGAACAGAAGCAAATAGGTGACTTACTGCAACTACTAACAAACACTACCTCTCAACCTTATCTTTACCAGTCAGAAGGCCAAACTCATCTTTTCCACTTGGAATCAGATAGATGGTTTCAGAAAACAAATCAGTTTTCTCTAAAATACTACACTGTTCATAAGGAAACTTCCTGTTATCTTGCTGTACTGGGGGTATCTACGTTGCTCTGAGCCATATGCCTTCCTTATCCATGCTTTTTCAGTAGGAGGTGGGCTGTTGCCAGCGCTGCACCCAAGATTTACTGGCTTTAGGAGACGAAATACAAGCAGGGCTGCTCCCTCACAGGTGGGAGCTCTACGCCATCCTCTCTGTTTTCCCCCTTTCTCCCAGAAGACTCACCCTCTTACCTTGTCTCTGTCCCCCATTTATTATTTTCTTCCTTCCCCCTTCACATTGATGTCTTTGCTCCCTCCTTCCATTTTCTGTTTCCCTCCTTTTCTCTGCCCTCTATTTGTGCCCTTTTCTCACACACTCCCTTGTCTCTCTGCCCTTTTTTTTCACCTCCCTTCATCTTTTCACATCTCTCATCATTTGTGTCCCCTGTGCCCTTGTTTTGCCCCATTCCCAGTCTGCCTTCCATTTTGTGCCTTTTCCAGGATCTCAGAATAGCCAGGGGCTGTTCAGGGCTGCATTTCAGGCTCTCTTCATGCTGCCTGGCACCTCCTTGGCAGTCACCCGCTGCTGGCTCTCTTCTACAGCTGCTGCTGCTAATGGCATTGCCACCTCAGCCTCCTGTTGCTGTTGCACTTAGTGAGATCCTGTGTTGCTCTATAGAGCAGTGCATCAGCACTGACCCACCACTAGAGGTACCAATGAGCATCAGCATCTCATGCACAGGACTGGAACAACTATCTCAGCTACCTCCACTGTCCTCTCTGGCTAGGGTGACCAGACAGCAAATGTGAAAAATCGGGACAGAGAGTGGGGGATAATAAGAGCCTATATAAGAAAAAGACCCCAAAATTGGGACTGTCCCTATAAAATTGGGACATCGGATCACCCTATCTCTGGCATCAGCCCTGGTTGCTACATTGTGTAGACTTTAAAGGTTCATAGGTAACATTAAAATATTTCTTGGCTGAATATGAAATTGGGGTTTTTTTCATCATTTTCTTAGTCCTCTTGAGCAGTCTGTTTCATGATGATGATAATGCTTTGCATTGTATAGCACCTTTCCTCCAAGGATCTTGAAGGGTTTTCTAAACATTCATTAATGAATTGTACAAGTTTAGGATGGTTTGTTCTGTTGGCTCCATCTTCTGTACAATAACCAGTGGAGTTAAAAATTAAATAAAATAAAAAAACACTCATATGCATTTTAATTATTTCCTCCTGAACAAAGTGATCAGCTTGACTGAAAGTCTAAGCAAGAGCTGGGATATGGTGGTGATCTCATGCAATTTTCTTAGAGTGGATTGGCCGAATTACAGACCACAGGCTACCGCAGGCATGCCTCCTCTTTAATGTGGGCAGACAACTCCTCTTTTCTTTCACCCCTGACAAACCCCTCTCTCCACCCTCAGGGCAGGCATATCAGAAGTGGTGGCACTGGGTACTGTACTGTTAGATTCAAGTGGACGGTAGTGCTTTGAAGGTTCTAGCTTCTGGGTGCAGCTGAGTGGCGCAGATATGGATAGGATACAGGAACCTACTTTCTTTCTGATCATAGGTCCAGTACCAATGCCTTTGAAGAGTTAATAAACTCCCAAAATATTTCTTTGGCCTGGCAAGTACATGAAACAGCAGCTCTTAAACATGGAAAGAATGATTCAGAATGCTAGCCTTGGACCTGGGTTCAATTCCCTGCTCTTCTGCAAGCTTCTTGAATGATGTTGCGCTTAGTCTGTCTCTGTCTCAGTTCCTCATTCTGCAAAATTGAAATGATAGTACAGCCCAGGAGTGTTCTGAGGACAAATGCTTTAAAGATTGTGAGGCAATCAGATGCTATGGTAATGGGTGCCATTTGAGTACCTAAGGGTATATCTACCCTGCAATTAAACCCCTGTGGCTGGCCCGTGTCAGCTGACTTGGGCTATTTGGCTTTAAAACTGCAGTGTAGATGTGCAGGCTTTGCTGGAGCCCGAGTTCCAAGACCCTGCCGGGGGGTGGGAGAAGAGTCTCAGGGCCTGAGCTCCAGTCCAAGCCCAAACGTCTACACTGCAATTTAACAGCCCTGCAGCCCCAGCTCGAGTCTGTTGACACAAACCAGCCACTGGTGTTTAATTGCAGTATAGACATCTACCTACAGATAAGGCCCTGACCAATCCACAGGCCATGTTGGTCAATTTCACAATCATAGGATTTTAAAAATGGTAAATTTCATTATTTCAGCTATATTTAAATCTGAAATTTCATGTTGTTGTAATTTTAGAGGTCCTGACCCAAAAAGGAGTTGTGCAGGGCATTCCAAGATTATTGTAGGGGGGTTGCGGGTACTGCTACCCCTACTTCTGCGCTGGTGCTGGTGGCAGTGCTGACTTCAGAGCTGGGCGGCTGGAGAGCTGGGGCTGCTGGCAGCAGCATAGAAGTAAGGGTGGCCTGGTATGGTATTGCTACCCTTACTTCTGCGCTGCCTCAGTCAGTGGCCACCACTCTCTGGCTGCCCAACTCTGAAGGCAGCGCAGAAGTAAGGATGGGTAATACCGCGACCCGCCTAAAATAATCTTGTGAGGGCCCCCACTCCCGCAGCTCCCTTTTGGGTCAGGACCCCCAATTTGAGAAACGCAGGTCTCGCCCATGAAAACTGTATGGTAAAACCACACAAAAGACTACATTTCATGGTCCCTGATGCATTTTTCATGGCCATGAATTTGGTAAGGCCCTACCTATAGATGATAAAAAAGCATGAGTGCCAACTAGCTAATACATTTGTTTTAGTATATTAAAGATCTGAAAATTCAGTTAGTCATACAAAAGGTAAAGAAAAACCAGCTGGCTCCATCTTCTAGCTATAGGGTGACCAGAGAGCAAGTGTGAAAAATCAGGACAGGGGATGGGGGGGTAACAGGAGCCTATATAAGAAAAAGACCCCAAAATTGAGACTGACCCTATAAAATCGGGATATCTGGTCACCCTATCTAGCTAAGTCTAATAGGCCATTTCAGACTCATACTGCTGATGATTTCACAAGCAGATCAGACTAAGTAGAGAAAATATCATACTATAATATCTGAATAAGTCAAACATCTTCCTCTTGAATGTGGAAACAGCAAATATTCATGATGTCAGCAGCAAATGGGACTCAAATGGTCTTTTAGACTTTAATTGAAATGACAGCTGAGGTACAAATATTAACATCTCTTTACATTCCCAATGAACATTCAGGGCTTAAAACTTAAAATCCCAGTTTTCCATTGGCATAGGCCCTGATCTAGCAAAGTACTTAAGTATGTATTTAACTTTCACATGCTTTGACTTCAATGAGTGCTTTAAGTTCTTTGCTGAAATAAAGCCCAATGGCGTTGCTTTTTTATTATTATTAATTCTGGTGGGTTTTGAGAGATGTTATATTTAAATGTTCATTGGTCCTTTAGACCAGGCAAAAATGCAAACCTTTTACTTGATAAACCAAAATGATCTCATCATTCTAAACTTCTTGGACATCTTTTTGAGCAGACTAGAATGTCGTACCAAATGGTGCTTCTGGGAGAGACATGCTAATATGCATGTGGCTGAGAATTATTGCTGTTCTTGGCTGCTGACATTAGTACAACTCTCCTCAGCATTGAGAGACAAAACCACCTAATTATAGTGCTTAGTTTAATGTGGTAGTATCTTGTTTGGTATTAATGAACCACTATTTTACAATTTCAAATCATAAGTGTGCAGTTTAGGAAGTAACAGCTGTGTTCTGAGCTTCAGTCATTCAGCAAGGAGCTTATAACTGTAAGCACAACTTTATGAACAGTATTGTACTAGTGCAAATAGCCTGTTTTCTAAGTGGCTACCACTTAAAAACCACTACCAGTGAACACGTGAAAATTAAAGTAACTTGTAGTTATGTATAACCATATTGTGACTTCATAGACTTTTTGAATCTTTGAATTAACATTTTTTCAGTAGTTGACTGTATTATTTTTACTGGCAAAATAAAACCATACTATTATAAATCACTAACATATATAAGCTGGAATGTGCTACCATGAACTTGTGTTTTGGATTGTTTTGGAGTTTATTTTAGCTATTTTATATTCATGAAAATCAGGTTAGTGTTAACGATTTCCAATTCTGACATTGCAGAAACTGTAAGACTGAGGGGCCAATTCTGCACTGGGTTAAGCAATGCTTAAGTGGGTGAGATGAGGAATTTATGCTCTAAGAACCTATTCAAAAGTCTAGTGAAGTCAATGGTAAGATGCCAAAAGGTTTTGGATCAGGCCAGTAAAGTCCATAGGATTTGGGTCATGTCTTGAGAAGTAGGTGCTCAAATTGACTCAGCAGACATTGAGAGTAAACTTTACACCCTGAACAGGTTATTTTTACTTATGCACTTTTCTGCTTCCTTTAGTGCCATGAATGTGGAATGAGAAAAGCCATGCTTGGGTAGGTGAATGTGCTTTAGTGGAAATGGATTTCACCACAAGCTGGCCTTCCTGTATTAGTGATCAGCAGATAATTTTAAAAATTGAATGTCTGGAGCAGGAGTAAGGACCTTACTCAGCTCATACTACTCCAGTGCTTGGGGAACGAGACACCCATAGACATATATCTCTGATACTTCTTCCCCCCTCACCTCACTCCCATCTTCCCCATGTTTTGGACAGGTTTGTTTGTTTTGTGGGGTTTATTACCTCTGGCCAATGGGTCCGGCCTGCTTCCCAGTACACAGGAAGCATACCTAGAGATTTACTGACACTGTAGGTAACTGGGAGCCAACTCTAGGTCTGGATCTGGGGACTGGTGCAACACTCACCAAATAAAGGGAGAGTGGCATCTCCTCAGACTTTCAAGCCTCCCAGAACCACCTCCCTCCCACAGACATTATTCAAATATTCATGTCCTGTTCTGCAAATAGAGTATGGCTAAGAATTCCCTTAGTCCCTTTTTCTACATTAAGACACCTGCATGGGGATAAGATTTCTGGTGGCAGAGGGCTCTTGGTTCTAGCAGACAATGGCATAATGGTATCCACTGCTGGAAACTGGAGCTAGACAAATTAAGACCAGAAATAAAGTGAACATTTTAATAGTGAGGGTAATTAACCATTGGAACAATATACATAGCAATATGAGAGATTCTCCATAACTCAAAGTCTTTAAATCAAGATTGGATGTCTTTCCAAGAGCTATGCTGTAGTTCAACCAGGAGTTTCTGGTCAAAAGCATGAAATCTATTAATCTTCGTTCTAAAATTAACTTTAATGTAGTTTTCCTGTCTCATTGTGTAGACCACTCACTGACTCTCCCATTCCCCCCAACTATTACGGACATATTCCTTTGAGAAAAAATAATGTGTGAGTTGGAATCTTCAGCCAGTCACAGAAATTTTATAACAGATGTCTAACTATCAATATGTTATGTACAGAATTTTTTTTGAACACTTGCATTAATTATATTACAGAAAATATTGAATTTATTATGTCATTTTCTCTTACCATACACAGTAGAAATTCGTTATATACAACAGACACACCTAGTTAATATTTACTACACATAGAAATGTGGTATTTTTATTAAATGAAATCTATAAGAAATTCAATGCATTTTGCAAGCATAAGTATATGTACACATAGTTGTCAATTTAGAGATGGAGAATTTCAAAGATTTTATGTAAAATTTCTTAGTATGCCCAATGATATCAAAATATATCATTTGATAGAAAGAGTAAAATGTGCTGAGGATATCCAGGATAATGATGCATTCTTGGCCTCCTTAGGAGGGGCTGCAGATATATGGAAGCTCTAGGAGCATCTTATGTTATAGATCCATGGAACCTGATTCTTATTCAAAGCTTTTAAGAGTATCCATATATGGTCACATTAGGCTCCCTTAGAGTGCCTAAGTGTATTGCCATCCCTTTTCCAAGGTTGGAGTCATAGACTTCACTCAATCTGTTGTACAGGTTTCAAGAAAATGAAACCAGTATGCACACAAAACATGCTCATTGTATCCACTGATTTTAAAAAATGAAAGGCAGTCAATAAAGAAATAAATGAATCCTTCCAGTTGCACTTTGATGGTTTTTAATATAAAGAAATATGCAAAGAACCCCAGTCAAAGAAATAGTCTACTCCATCTTCAATAAGAATTTGGCATGTGAAGTCCTTGCTGGGTTGGACTCTTATATTTCTAAATCTGTCATGGGGTGCTCCACTCACTGCTTGTCTGGAGCCTCCTCTTGGTCACTCTGGCTCTCAAGATCCACACTTCTTCATGTGGTCACGCGATGTCACACTGTCTCTCTCTTATGTCTGCAGCTCCTCTCTCATCCCAGAAACCACAGGGTTTTCTTTGTGACTTGTCCCTCTGGCCAGGTCACTATCTGTGCCTCCCCCTTCCGGTGTTTATCAAAGTCTTTCTTTCAGCAGTCCTGGGCAGTCTTCCCATTCACTGCCTCAGGCGCTAATCCTTTAATGGCTGGTACGGGAACCCTGGCTTACCCTGTATTCTGGGTTCCAGTCCAGGGACCCTTAATCCAGCAGTTCTGGGCTTTACTCTCCCAGCCCCCATTGCTTCTTCCCTGGACTGCTTCCTACCACTCCTGGCTTCCCCCTTTTTCTGGGAGTACCATCTCCAAGCCCTCCTCCCTCTTCCCAGGGAGTGACTGCTGCCTCAATCTGTTGCCAGCTTCCTGGCTTTATAGGCGCCGTCTCTTCCTGCCCAGCTGAGCCTGCTTGCAATTAAGTCCCTGCTCCCTGGCTCTTCCTTCAGGTGCAGCCTATGGAGTGAATAGCCTACCTGAACATGGTAAACAGGGCTGGAAGGGGTTAAGTATT